AATCGGCTCAAAATTGTAGTGATGTAAGGCTGGTCTAGTAATGTGATTGTCTAAGAGTTGAAGACGATGTGGCTTTTATACACTAAATAAACTAAAATTCTATAAGCATTTTTATCATTATTTAGACCTACATGTAAATCAGGAAAGGGATTTTTATTTAGATATTTATATAATACAATTGCCATCAAGTCACCGACGGGTCGTATAGTGTGCGTTTGGCCTTACATCGATGTCATGATCCTGTTACTTACATGTACATGTAGGCCTGTATGTGTACGTAAAGTTAAAAACTACATTATTCATGCCCTTTAACAACGTTTTGTATTTTGTTAAGAATGTGAAAAAATTATTTGTCCAAAATGTCAATTCTTAAGAATGTGACATATTGAAGCTTACATCTAAAAGTATTCAATAGAGGCTGTAATTCAACTAGTCCACCTTTCATCCAAGTATGAATAACACGAAAAACATGAATAATTTAATTGTTAACTGTTCATGTAACATGTAGAGCGTGACTGCATTTATTGCCTCTTCTTCAAAATGATTCTGTCAAAAAACACGGGCACCTCATATTATCATCATTGTATTTGATATGAATAGAAAATATTTATGTCTGAATGACATGTCAGGAACATTTATTATATTCATTGGATTGATTTTTATTTTTGTTTATTAAGGCGCTATATAAATTCAATTATTATTTATTATTTATTATTATTATACTCCATGCATTTCTAGAACCTCCCCCAGGCGGAAGGGCCTGTAGACTTTAACTGTAGGTTATGAACACCCACTGTACATGTTTGTAAGGAAATCTATGAAACGATATTAGACCAAAATATCCATGAGGATTGTGGAATGTTCCCTGCTGTGTAGTACCGGTAGTCAAAATTACGATACTGGTTTCTGTAGACCTACACATGTACACTGTACTACATGTATCACAATGTAAGTTTTATATTTATTTCTGTTGTGTATTTACAGTACATGCATTTAAGCCTTTTTAAATCTCAGCTTTTGCCTCATTGGAGAAATACATTGTAGGCTATCCTTTTTATCTAGGGATTAACTTTCATGAATATGACAATGGTCTGCTATCAAATAAAATAAAAGCAGATTCGGAAGTTGGGTTTGGAAGATGACTACTGTAGTCTTGAGTTTCAGACTCTATTCAGCATTTTTACAAGGGTTGTAGAGAAGAGACATTATCTCGTCTTCAAGAACTGGCTCTAATTTGACACTTTACCAAATTAATTAAGTCTTGAGAAGAGCCTAGCTCTTTCAGTCTCTGGCTGTGTCAGCTATAAACTGTACGATGTACGCTGTCAGCCTACATGTAGTCTCACAGTGCAGACACTGTTACGCACAGCGACCCAAAACAGTTTGTGCCTGCTAAGTAATTATTACCTCCCAGACAAAATGAACCAACAGAGGCTGCTGGCTGGTCTCCAATTTGTAATTTACCAGGCTAAATTCATATTGATTGCATTCTGGCTACCCTCTGAAAGCTGTACAGCATTATATCGCACGTCTACACCCTACATGTACAGTACATGTATGATGTCTGCATTATACTAATGCATTGGCAAATTTTTTGCTTGACTTATAATTTCATGCAAATAGAATTATGCGATGTGAAATGAAGCATGCTAGTGCAATGTGTATATGCTTTATCGATCTATCCGTCGCTTTATGAATGAAAGTACCGTAGCAGTGGTATAGTGCGTACCGGTATATATTTATTGGGGGGAGTATTAGAGGGAATTTTGAAATTATGTTCTAAACAGTCCTCCATTCAATAAGATCATAAATAGGGAATTTTTAAAAGTTATAAATGTGAAAAAAAGGTAGATGACGTTTTACTGTCCTCCTTTTCCTTTCTTGAAGAAAGCAATTATGTCGTGAATCCACTTTCATAAATGGTAAAAATATGAGATTTAATTCATGTACATGACAATATTGCCAATGTATTTTTAAATGATTTTCTTTCGTTGAAGGAGAATCAAATTTATTTTGCATCTTAAAGACAGGGCTTCCCACTTTTTGCTGAAGGTCTATGCAGAAGAACTCTGTTGAAATCTTGAAAAGTTGGCTTTCCTGAGTCAGTTTTGAGGTTGCCTGGCTAAGGTTAAGAATTAGATAATTTTTATCACCAATGTTATCGATTTATCTTCCTTTTACAATTAGTAAGATCTCTGAGTGTAAGACCTGTAATTATACATGTACTGTACATGTATAGGAAAGCATCAAGTCATGATCCTATTAAAAAGCAATGGTATTATTTTCTTAAGTAATCTGATTAAGCATCATTTAAGAGGATTATTTTGGAAGAGACTCTACTCAAAACATTGTCCTCTTAATACATGTAATGCTGTAAAACACCCAAACTGAAATACAATACTGTTGTACACGTACATTTGTACATGAACATTTAGTATGTGTTCTTTTCATTTCTATATTTAATGCAACTGTTGGTTTCTAGATCTTTGTTGCACTCATCAATAATATTCATCTTTATATTCCATTCATTGACACATAAAACATTTGTTTGGCACTGCTGTCTCTTCTAATTATGATATTATTCTTTTTCAATTGTTTGTAAAAGGCAGTATACCACATCACATGTGACATACCTGATGAACTTAATATGTTCCATGCAAAACATTGCAGAGGAAAGCTGATGCAAGTTTTATCATGTTGATGTAACATGCAGAGGAGCATTGATGGGCAAAAGCGATGAGTCATGTAATGCTCTTCATATAATGTGAATGTAACTCTGGAACTACATAATGGACTGTCTGGGTGGAAAACTGCGCATGCATTATATATTATGCTTCAGAATTACTCTTTTATTGCATGGAGAGTACGGTATACCATACAGGGTACTTTAATGTGCAACTCTGAATCGTTTAGAAACCTTTCGATAGCCAGCTGTATACATGTACATGTACATGTATATCCATACATGCAAATATTTACAATCTGTGGTATAAACCATTTTTGTTTCACTAGGTTGTTTTTTCCGTGAATGGTTGGGTTGTTGATTTATCAATAAGCTAACAATGCACTGCAAACATGCATTATAAGCATAGTGGATAAATCTCAAAAACAAAACAACACCCCGCCAACTAAACGTGGGTATACTTTATACAGTAGTTGTTTACGATGAACACACAGTCTGCTTGTACTGCGGTGGCAATGAAGAGTAGAAATGATATCATTATCATCAAGTAATCCGAGAATGAATCAAAAGTGGTGCCACTCCCTTTTTTCTTCTCTTCTCTTCTTTATGCAATGAAACCAAGGCAGATCAGAGGTAATACTGTAGCTCAATATTTCATGCATTATTTTACTTTTGTTGAAGCTAGTATGGGTACTAAACTATACATGAACGAGACGTGTGTAATGGATTCTGTATTATGAATCTGATTTAAGAATTAAAAAACAAGAATAATATTAAGCAGCCCCCCTCCCCACCCCCCCCCCCAAAAAAAAAAAAAGATCAGAATTATTCATTTTTGCAGACATCTGGAAATGATCCAAACGAAATGCTTCCTGCAATTGAATGTGTTCATGCCAGCCATGCCAACATAATGAGTCGGATGAACACAAGGTTAATATCTTCATTAGATCATAGGGTATTGTCAAAATCAGGAACTTTCTCTTCAACCACAAGCAGTCCAATCTGTAACTTATCTTTTTTGAAATTCTTATAATTTATTTTTAAAAAAGTAAGGCAATGAATGTTATTTTTTTCTTCCATTCAATTAGTGATTTGATATTTCTTTTTGCAGTACACTTACATAACTAGTAGGAGTAGAACTAAACAAGATAATAGATGAAACCTGACAAGAAAATTTTGTATGAAGAAAACAACTTCTTTCCTTTCTCTTTGTCTCTTTTTGTCCTTGCTTTAAATGAGGTTACAACTAAAAAGGAGACACATATTTTGAGACCAGGATGAAGATAGGTAGGCCCAAAGGGCCAAAGCGGAAGGGAAATTGAAATTAAAACAAAACACAAGACGCTGTCTGAATCAACATTTGCAAAGCTGAAAAATGAAGAAGAGTAAAAAATAAAATAACTGAAACAAGGTTGCCTTTTGTTATGTCTCCATCCTTATAAAAGAAGGGTGACAACATCTCGCTGCTTTCGGGCAATTCAGAGATGAAAGCGAGTAGGCTGAGTCTGTGGGGACCGTGGTTTCCATGGTAGAGAGAATTCATTTGATATACATGCATGCCTGGGTAGGCATTGAGATTGGGAATTAGGAATTGTGAAGAAGGAGAGGAAAATAACTTTTGGGGCTAATCTGATGAAAGCTTTTCCTCAGGAGGTTTGGTTGGATGAGAGTAAATCCCCTTTCAGACTACCAAAATTTACTGTATGACACCTGTTTAATATATGATAAGTACTAACAAAAAATGTATAGTTTGAATGTTGTATTTAACATTGTTTTATGCAGTGCAATGCATGTTTGAGATCATTTCATATAAAAACCCATGAAAAATCAGGCTTCCGTTCAAGTCTGCACTTCTAATAGCTAGACAGGGCTTATTGTGAGCCTGCACTAATAGTTGGCCAGCTTTCACGCAAATGACCTCGTCAAAACCAGTTTCTTTATATGATGTACATGTACATGTTCACCGTAGTTACCCAAAGGTTAAGATCCTTTTCGCTATACGATGATTCTTTGTACAACGTTTCTTTATACAATTTTTCGTATATGAATGTCCTCTTGTCTGAATGGAACTATAAGCTGATTGGTGTCACTGATACAGCGCCAGTAGTCAGTATTATTATCTCTTCCGTTCGTTCTTAAACCATCTCTTACTTCATTCTACAGTGTACATGTACATGTAGGCTACAGTTCATAGTAGCAACAGGAGATGAGGTGCAGTGAATTTTTCATTTAAACTCATACAAAATCTGGAAATGAATCAAAGTGTTCCGTTATTTCTTTTCTTAACTACATTTATTCTATTTCATTTCATTTGCAGGAACACACAAAAAAGGAAACTATCAAATAATGCCTTTGGATTACCAAAAGAAATCAAATTTCTTTTGAAGGAATAATACATACATGTAAATATACATAATTACATAAGATATACATAATTCTATATCAAGAAGAAAAGCAAAAGACAAATGAAGAGATCATTCATATAAAACAAGTATACATGTATGTTGGACAGGTCATAAGAGTGTTCCGTTTTTAAATAACAAAGAAGGGGGGGGGGGGAATCACTTTTATTTGGTAAAGGAAAGCCTGAAATGAAATTACATCATATTAATCTATATTTGCAGGATAATTGTTTTGTTGACACATTCAAATAAATTTAACCTTCCAGCTGTTATATCATTAGTTATATTAAAGATAAAGGCGCACAAGGAAGAAATACAAAAAGAAGAACAAAATATTGATATACGCTGTATATTGCAAAACAGTTACAATACATTGCATAAGGTATTGATATTTAATTAAGTCCCCGAGGTATTCACTCTGTACAAAAGGTGCAACACGAAGCAAATAGACCCTCAACCCAAAGCTGACATAAAAGCAAGAAAGATGCTAAAGAACAACCTTCCCCCTTACATGATAGATCATATCTTTATTTTCAATGCATCCATTTTCATCTACTTTCCATCTTTATATCATATCTTTTTCTACGTTGATGATATCACGATATCATGAAAACTTTGATATAAAATCCTTTTGGGAATTACACTGTAGGTCTCCACTCTCCAGGATCATCTCGTATGTTTGTATTGTCAGGCATAGATTTAGCTGTTCTTTAGCTTCAGATTATCATTTGTTTAGAGCCAAAAGGGCATTAAGTAATATCGTTTTACATAGACTTAGAGCTCTTCAGCTCCTAAGCAAACGATGATGATGTATTAAGGCTGTCACTAACGCCATCAAGGCAGCAAAATTTTATGAATAAATTTCCAATCATTTCCGACTTGTTATTCCAATCATCTAATCAATCTTTCCTTAACTTGTCCGTTGTCGTTAAGCTTCTCCCTGGATATTATTTTCCTCTTCGTCGTTTAATCTGTAATCCTTGCCCTGAATTTTGTTAAAGGTAAAACAGAAAGAAGAAAAAAAGCATAATAATGACTTTACCGATATCGATGTAGATAATACATTGTGATAGATTCATTTTATTCACAGGAAGACTTGAGGATAAAGGCATATAAGTTTCAATGAAAAGAAAGAAACAAAAAACAAAAACAAGCAAACAAATAAACAAAAAGGTAATCCACAATCTTGGGATGAAATCTTATCCTGTTAAAGTAGACATGCAAGTAAGAAATCAAATGAAAATGTGTACATATATTTGTTGATTACCAATGTAAATTGCAGGGATAATGAATAAATTCATTTCTCACACTCTTTCATGTTTATTTCTAAGAAATACCAGTATCAGACTGAAGATACCTTTAATCAAATTAGGCCTTTTTGGTATTCTCAAAACTATGTTATCTACTGTAGATAAGCCATGAAAGATAAGGCTCAGAATCCCTGTTCACAGAAAAGATTAAGCATCACAAAAATATTGCTAGGATCCGTACTTAGCAATTTGTATTCTCTGTGAAATATGACTGTCATACATGTAGGTGCTGTGATTTATTAATGAAAACAATTGGAATGAAAAAGGGAAAACTAAAACCTTGCCGAGTGCTCACAGTCGATATGGCACTACAGTAGGCCTTGCTCCACTGACGTCAGTACCTCTCACAGGTGCTCACTGTGTATTGGTTAAAGCAACACATTCAAGCAGGTCTATCTATGCGCACGGAAGGTTGTATGAGGTAAGCTGCTGCTAATTTAATTGAATTGATACAATGATATGGAAAGCCAGTGTCCAGCCCTTACCTATTTAGAGGTACTTTCATTTGTTTTGATGTTGTATTATTATATATTTAAGTCTGCAAAAAGACTCTCTTTAAATTAGGAAAGTGCATAAAGTGGATATACTTCCAAAAACAAAATTATAAAATTGATATTTCATTTATTGACCAAATGTTGTTATTTTTGATAGGATGTACAATAATACTAAATTAAATTTATGATAGGATAACCTAAAATGCACAAGTATATGGACTTGCTGAGAAATCTTGGTGCTTTTTTAAACACCATATTGAAAACAAAACAAATAAACAAAAGATGAAAACAAACTCTATTAAAGTACTTAGTTTTTATATAAGATACTTGTGACAATAGAATGATTTCAGTCTATATACACAATCTACATGTAGATATTTCCTTTAAAATACTTGGAACACACCTGTATACAGTCATTATCATAATATTTCTTGTTGAAACCCTATGGAGATAGTGAGAAGGCCTTCTTCCTGTTAGCCCCTGGTCAAAGCAGCCATCCATCCATCTTGGATGGAGAGCAACATGTGCATATATGACAGCTAAAGGTCATTTGAATCATCGGCCAAACAATACAATACTAGCTGTAGAAACAACAACACCATCAAAAACATTGTCCTGGAGGCTCTCTGCTTTAGTATTAATGGCGATATTATTATGTTTCGAACAGTTTAGTTTAGATTGTATGGACAGTTGTGGGTCAAAAGCGATGTAATTGCTAAAGCAGAGAAATTAAGTCATGTGTACTTGACCAGAACTTGTTTATCAATGCCATTTGCATTGAACCTTCATTTTGAGAATATACTCTTAATATAATTCATTGTGAATTGAGCTACTCGTAAACATGTACATACATGTACAACTGTACAGTTGAAAACTAAATTATTCATACCCTTGTAAATTTGATGTTTTTGTGTTTTCGTAACTTTCAAGATCTTTGTTTTGCTTTATAGCATCCAAACATGCAGTAGCATGATACATGTAGCAACATAACTACATTATTGTCTAAATACATAACAATAATAATCTTTGCCCTCATTCGATACCAATGTGCAATGTCACATCGAGATTGTACCGCACGTTCTGATTGCTGTCAGGTCTATATAAATTGATTCAGATCTTGTGATAATAACCTAATTGGTATTGTTAAATTCTAAATGAGATTAACATTAACATTATGATGAAGTGATACTTGGTATTTAAAAAATCTAAATGAGATTAACATTATTTTATTTACTCAGAGTTACTAATGATATTATGTTGTTAAAATTCTGGAGAGAGATTTGTGTGTTTTGTTTTGTAAAGCGCCTTGAGTAAATTAATAGATAAGTGCGCTTTATAATATATTATTATTATTAAGATTATGATGAAGTGAAACTTTATTTGTATACAATTCTATTTATCCTGTCATCATCTATTCATTTATCGGGGGGGGGGGGGTGTCACTGTTGCCCTTTGTGTATTGTGTATTGTGAGGTATGCATGTAACTTTAGTAGTAAAAAGTTGAAATATCGTGGCCTCATACCTGAATCTAATCTGTCATTCTGAATGTTCTGTCTTGGGTTAGATTTCTGAAATATATATTTTTCATTGAGCCCGTCTTTAATATCCTCCACTGAATATCACTTTACATCAAGTACGTGATGAGAACCAAGCTAGAATGATGGATGCCGTCTCCTTCCTTTCCCATTTTCTCTTCAAAAGCATCTCTACATATTGACCCATAACCATGGCAACCCTGACAGGGACATCTCATTGGAATTCTCCCTCCCTCCTTACTTACCAACTTTGTAAGTTCTCCTGCGTGTGAATAAATCAGCAATATGTATGCAATGCAGCAGTAATCTAAGCAAGGGGATAGGATGTTCGGTGCAATTTGTAATGTAAGTGCCGTTTGACCAAGGTTGCGTCGGTAGGACAAGGCGGATTACATGCTGAATCGCATCATGGGAAATGGTGTGATGGTTTGAGCGGGGTCTTTGTTTACGGAAGAAAGGTTTAGCTCAGTTATGCAAAACTGCATCAGCGTCTTTTTTTTCTTTCTTGGGTAATGGAACTTCTGGAAGTCTCTTGTTGTGTCAAATGCTATTAAGGGTATCATATCCAAGGTACACAGCAGAAATAAAGTGTACATGTATGTTTACATGTTGCTAACAAGTTTGATCAGGGGAAATTTCATTCCATTCTTTATTCCATCATTATTGTATTTAAGCTGATGTTCTTTCTTAGTTAGTCTTTTAAAGGAAATTTGCAGTAGATAAGTTGAGAATGCCATGTTAATAATATAATGTTCATGTACATGTACATGTACTGAACATGTACTTTGAACACAATTTAGATTCATTTTGGACTTTGATGTTAGAAAAAATGATAAAAGGGGTGAACCTTTTTATTAAACCAAATGTGCAATATAAAATTTGAAGATAAGCACAGCTATTTTTGTGTGTAAAAGATTCTTCTTGAAACTTTTGTTTTTGATACTAAAATATTGTCAAGATACATGTGGCAATTGCAAAATGAAAAAAGCAATAACAAAAATGAAATAATGGTACTAAAAAAAAACAATACAAATTAAAATTTAAAAGGACAGTACATGTACAGGTTTTATAGATCGACACATTCTTTTTCTATATTATATACTTTAGCACTAAATTAATGCCTTTCTGGATCTGAGTGGACAATGTAAAATCATTGTATGAAATGTATTGCTGTTGGTAAATAAATCAAATCAAATATATTAATTGCTATTGTGCACTGCATCATGGGGCACTGCAATTTCACAGAGGTTTGTACAAATCTATGCATGTACACAACTGTCTGTTAACTTAATACATGCCTGTTCCTCATAGCAATTTACAGAAGGATTTTAACTTGTTTCAAAGTGTTATGAGCAGGCCTGATAATAACTCGATTTTAATCAGTTTTTTTATTTACTTATTTTCTCCAGATTTTTATATTTTTTTCCTGATTTATTCCAGATTTTGTTCTTGTGTGTCCCTATTTTACCCTGATTTTTCCCTTATCGTCTCTCTTTTTTTAATTTTTTTTTTTTAGTGCTCACTATCACCCCTATATGAGATGAGTTATCATCCTTCTGGCTCCAAATAGAGGCTGTGATTAATATTTCAGGAAGGGATGAAACAATTTAAAAAAATTAAAAATTCCTTCATAAAATCTCCATATTTTTCAACTAAAACCTAAAATCAAAGAAATCAAATGAGTCTTGGGCTTTAAGAAATCACATATTTATGCTTTTAATATACAAAGTTGTGGATTGTCATAAAGCTCGACTTAAAAATAAAAA